TTATATTTATGACAATGCCTTCCTCCCTTTTAAATATCTTTATATCTTTCTGGTGTGCACAACTTATATACTTCCCTTTATCGATCATCTATTCTTTCTTGCGGCCTTTACTCCATCTTCTCTTCCCTCAATCAAGTCTATATAAAAACACTTTCAAACCTCTCTACATATACATGACATTGACATACATACATACAAGTAGGAACCCCTCCAAAAAAACACTTATAAATTTACGGGTTCATTGTTTCAGTTGCTTTCCTTTTTTCTTTTTTTTTTGGTTTTTGGTTGGGTTCTTTTGTGTTAATTTGTGGGTGTGTGTGGTATTTGTTGGTATCAAATGAATCAGTGAAATGAATGTAATGACTATTGAGACTATATGTATGGTGAATAAATTTATATATATATGTATATGTATAGACAATAAGTGAGATGATGGAGGACTTCCTTTTGCCTAAAAATTGCTTGATTGAGATGGGGACGCTCAACTCAATTGGCTGGTGAACCCATGATCTTGATCGATTTTCACCAGCAAATAAGGTTTATAAGGATGTCCTTCTAGATTGGCAGCTTTGGACAACAGGAAGTCTGCCAGTTTTTTTACAAATCTTCCTCTTCTGTTCATGTTTTCTTTTCTTTTCTTTTTTTTTCTTTGATGTTTCTCCTTGGTACATATGAAGCAAAAGTATTTGTCTCTGTTGGATGATTTTATGAACTGGAGCAACAGGGCCAGGATGTTTGGGGTATGCACTGTTGTGACTTGTTGTGTGGCACATGCAATCTTGTTACAAGGTCAAGACTTCCAATTCCTGCTGGCTTGGGATTCCTTACGGTGTAAGACTCAAAAGTGGTTATGAAACCCTTTTGCTGAATGGAGAAGGGTATGTTGGAGTTGCAAGCTCTGCCCTTCTATACTATCAGAATAACAAGACCACCAAGCTTAGCTTGGCAATTTTATATATAGTGATAGGGATAAGTTCGAGATGAAGCTGCTGATTGATATGTGTGAGGGTATAAAGATGTTGTTGACTGTTGGTTATATTGATGAAGTTGTTGTTGATGAATATGGTTCAGGGCACTTTTGGTTTATGAAGATGATAAAAGTGTTAAATCTGTATTTCAATGTATATAATTCTGAAATTGTAATGTGGCTATGACTTGTAGTTTATGAAATAATATATAAGGTGGATTTATTTATAAGGGTGGTTGAGATGATCTGGTCCACTCGTGGGATGATGGAGGGAACAAATGGCAGGATGAGGCCTCCTTATATAGACAAATGTGAGGGATTTTGGCCCCAGGGTACAGGCTGAAAGATACTACTACAAAGGGATGCATATGAATGAATAAAGGGACGCATATGTATGATCAAAGGGATGCATACATGCAATATCACTAATACAAAGGGATTCAAAACAACGTAAAGGTATTCAATTTACTACAAAGGAATCCAGTATGCAATATGCATCCTGTATTCATAATGGCTATGGCTAGAGTGAAGAATCCAAGAAATATCCCGTGACAGGTTGAAATCTGTGTAACTTCTAAACTATAAGAGATAAGGGTATGGTTGTAGTGGGTGACTAGGGGTTATTTTACCTGAGGATTCCATTTTTGATGTCATTTTTACCCTATCTTGAATGAATAAAGAGATAATGAGAAATTTTTATATTTTCTGCGTAGAAACACAGCATTATTTACCACAACGGTTGATGAGGCTGTTGTACATACCTCATTGATGGAGAGGAACTCCTTTGGGTCCAGCTACCTCACTGAACAGAGGGGATTTCTTTTGCTAGATGAGGTAACAATACCTTACTGACCAGAAGGGATTCCTTCCACACAGAAGGATCACAACAAGATTTCAACAGGGGCAGATGCAGCAACATCCCAAATTGTAAGCACACAAAAAAAAACAGTATTAGTACATCTAAATAGAACAACAAAGAGAGTGTAGAAAAATGGAACAACAAAAATATTGTCCAGCTAGTCACTTTGTCAGCTGTTAGATGACCAATCTATGGGATTGAGGCAGTTTCAAATTCCAGACACGTTGGAGGTGTGCCTCATTGACCAGTGTGAGATGTGCCTGGTTTCTGGGAGTCTGATTTGTCATGATCATCATCATCTTCATTATGGTAGTGTGCAATGTTTGTCAATTTGGCCTGTTCAAAACTACCCCCACAATATCTGTAAATTGCCTTTCCTTTGCGGTCTATGTTCATCATGCATCTGGCTGAGAGTGGGACTGGACAAGGATGTTGACCACCGCTGGGGCACCAGGTTACTTGCAAGTGATTTCTACATTTTCCACATCAGTACTCTTGGCGAGGAGGGGGAGGATTTGCATTGGCAAGAAGCAGGATTTTCATGACAAGGGTAATGAAGCGCCAATCAAACATCTTCATTGAAAGTTTCAGGTTTTTTTTTTGTGTAGTTGGGGTTTTGAACTTGCAACCAGAAGATATGTGTGTGGTGTATGAAGCCAAGGGTTGACAATTGGACTATTGGGCCACAGTGATCCCCTTCTGGGTTGTTGATTATGAAGGGTGATAAGCTAGTCTGAGATCAGCGGGCACAAGGTGGGATGAGTGGCTGTGGTATGTATGTGGAAGGCTTAGTATATCATTTCACAGGATCACAGAAGGAAGTGTTGGAATTTTGCTGTCTTTTCCACTCATCCCTAAAATAACTTTTTAAACTGTCTTTCTTTCTCTTTCTAATCACTCTTCATGAGACCAGATTATAGTATTAAGTAGCATGTTTTTTGACTGACTGATCACACTTTTGTAGTCTACAAACCCTAAGTTGTAGCTCTTTTTTGTCAACTCATGACTCTAAAATATCTTCTTCTTTTTTCACATTATTGTGATTGTGGCATTCTGAATATTCATTATTCTAACCACGTTTTGATTGTTGTGTATGTAGTCTATTTAACAAACTGATTACGCATGATAATCAAAAAAACATGGGTTCTTTCCCTCATTTTTTGACCCTAATTGAGCTGTTCCAACAACAACCAATTTTGTTGCCCAAAAATCTCTCTCTCTCTCATCAGTTATAATTTCTTCAGGAAGCAAAACAGAAGGAAAAGGAAAGAAGACAGAAAAGAAACACATACCTGAGATCAGCGGACAAAAGGTGGGGTGAGTGGCTGTGCTACATTGTGAGAACTCCTTTGGGATGAATGGCAGTCCTGCAAGGGGGACATAGCAGGTATGATATTTCAGGTATGTATGAAGCTATTAAAACTGTCACAGGTGGTTTGAAAGACCTGCTTCTCCAATGTACTACACTAGAATTCTTACAACAAACTGATTTTATTTTTGTAGCAAAAAACTGATGCTAGAGAAAAACTACATGTAGTAGTCTCTTATCAAACCTAGATCAAAATTGATTCAGCAGAAGCGTTATATCGTGGAATTTTTGAGTGGAAAGAATTTGGCATGGTTTACAGCAGGCTGGAATCAGATAATGGAAAGATGTATGAAGCTGTGAGATATGTTTGTATGTTTTTATATCTTTCTATGAGTGAAGTCCAGTAGATGTTGATATGTGATAAGGCTGAGAGGAAACTGATGATAAGATGAACTATTCAAAGTGTCTTTGCCCTCCTCCTTAACCTTCAGATAAGAGAACAAATGGGTTAAGATCACTTTTGACTGGTTAAGAGCACAAGAGGTGCTGCTTGTCACTTGACTTTTCCTATGCTTTCTGAGGTATGAAAGATGTTTATGGGCCACCTGATTGAGATCACACTGTTGGATTTTACCTTAATTTGACTTGAATACTCTCAGTGAGATGTGTGTGGCTTATTCTTTTCTCTCATCTTTAAAATACATCAGCTTCATGCATGTAATCTATTTCTTATTTCTCCTCAAGTTGGTTGATGTTGATGAAAATTATTAGAACAGGACACTTAGGATACATTATCAGGGTAGGTACCTGCCTGTCTTTTCACCTCAAATGTCAACACCCACACCCGCACCCAGCAACTGTTTCTGGGTACCTGCAAAAGGGTGCCAGGTACCTGCAAACGGGTGCCAGGTACCTGCTGACATCTCTAAAACCAACAACATGGACGGCTATTACAAAGGTCAATACCCAGTCATATCAGCAACAATGGCATTTGGTCTAGGGCAAAATTTGAAGAGAGTGTAGTGTTTCATCCACATGGGGCATGGGGACCCATCCTCCATTGTTCAAATGGTTGGGCACTGGGCAGGATGGAAATATGGGGCTAGGGCTCCTGTCCATGGAACCAATAAGGAAGAAGGGTAAAAATCATGTGGCTTTGTTCCTGTTGGAGACCGTACAAGATGATGATGAACAAATGGATGCTCTGGCAGCGACTCCAGTTTGTTTGAGGATTGCACTCATGATGGATAATCAGTTGAGTGGTGTCATCCTGTGAATCTTGAGTGTCATCAAGCTGATTTGAGGTTTTTCATTCCTTAGGCATGGGTACATCCCCTTATTGATCAATGACCCGGCTTACTGTGCAGAACAATAAAGGGAAATAATCAAGGTTTTCCAAACCTGCCACTGTTCAACTTGTGACCCCAATGGCTCAGAGGCCATTATCAATTTGGATCAACAGACATTGGTTGACAATTTTGATGCCATCCTGTCAGACCCATTGTCAATCCCAAAGGACAGCTCAATCGTCACACTGACCTGGAAAGCAAAACCTCAAAGGCCAAAGGGCACCTGTAGACTTCCCAACAAGGTGGCCCAGAATCTCATAGTGCACTTGGTCCGCAACTTTGAGGTGCTCTATGCTAGAGCACTAGGCCCCTCAGCTGATTGAACATTTAAACCAGATCCGGGATTTCATGCCACACAACCTGGCACTGGCAGGGAGTTTAATGGGGGGGGTGAATTTTCTCCTGAACAGACTCTATGGCTTGAACAATCAATTACCAATTGGATGGAAGGAGAATTTTATCAAGATATCCTATTACACAAGGCATTCATGGTTGCTGAAGAGCTTAGATTACGTGAGGAGATAGAGGCAAGTGCACTAGCCTTACAAATGGAGAAGGACACATTGGATGCTTCTGAGAAAGCCGAGGCTTGAGGCATGGCCGCCGCAGCAGCTGAAGTCAGGAAGAACACTGCTGATTCAGCAAAAAGAAAAAGGGCCCCAGAGAATAATAGATTGAATGAGGCAGTCATGCTGGCCAAGAAAGCTGAAGACAAACACAAGTGATTTCAGGCAGAAATGAAGAAAGCCAAAAAGCTACGGAAGTAAGAGGAGGACGCTGCACACAAACAGGCCCAGAGGGCAGCTAGGAACAAGGTGGCTGCTGAGGCCAGATCCCCAGTAGCGGCAACAAAGGCAGAGGATAAACATTTGCAAAAAGAAACCAAAGAGAACAATAAAAAAGGGCAAGCAGTAATTGCAATCTACAAGGCAAACTTAACATGAAGACGCAGTCAACCAGAGATCAGAAAATGATGATTCTAGAGCAGCATTAAGCGCAAGTCAGATTGAGAGGAGAGTTGGCACCCACATTTGCAAGGCCCATCTAGTTGGAAAGAATGCTTCCAGTGTATTTCTCAAGTCAAGTCCATGTCAAAAGTTTTTCTATTGCCATCCAACTCATCACTATCCATTGCCAATGGATCCAGTCCTGCCACATGTGGTTCAGGGGACCCACAGGTGGGAATTGACACCTCCTTGACTTTGAGGTCCCCGGGGCTGTGAAACTGATTCAGGAATCACAGCTGCAAGGGGAATATGGAAATTAGTCTGGGCCCATACCTAGATCTTGGGGAAAGAAACTTACAATGGGAATGTTGATTGAAAACACATCCTTTAATCTGTCTAGCTCCATTCCTATCCCAGAATGATTGAAAAAATATTTTTAACCAGTAATTCTGAATCTCCAGGTAGAAATATGTAGCAACAAATCCTGTTCTCTTTCCAGTTGGGCAAATGAGCAGGGTGCTCAGTATTGCCTGAGCAAGCAATGGAGGAAGAAACTCATTCAAAATGAGGATCAGCTTCTGATTAATGAGGCAACTTTCCAATTGCCTGGCCCAAATGTACATCAGAAGGACTGGGTCTCCGGCCCACATTGCCTGTACTGCTTCAATGATTGTATCAAATTCCCAAATCCTCAGTATCATATTGGCATGAGTCTTTGATTTTTGAGCAATTTTTGATCTCTATGCTGAGATGGAACAAAGCCCATCATATGTTCTAAGAATTCCCCAATTGGAACTTCGGAAGCCATTATGCTGGCAGTTTTTCCCAAACGCCAGCATTTCACAGATAGTTTGTGCCATCTGTGATGTCACAAGAGCAATCTGTATAGTTTAATATCATCAATGCATGATTAGAGACTATCAAGTTGGAGAACACACTGTTTAAAATTCAACCCAGACCCTCTGGTGCATTAACCAAACAGCACTCCTGCACAAAAAACCACCTTCAAACTCATTGATATTGTTTTCTGTCAGATTGAATTGATCCTTAGGTGGAGGAGTTTGTATGTCAGCATCCAGGGACCCCAGCGGGTTATTTTCATTACAGTCAAGCAAATCAATGGGTACACCATTTGTGTTCAAAGTTGCTCCATCATCATTCATCCTGTCTCTACCTGCATTATTGCCTTGAGCCAACCCTTCAACTTCCTCATCATCAGCTTGATCCAATCCCTCTCCGTCTTCATTTTCTCCAAAGTCTTCTGCAGCTTGAAGCTTGGCAAATATGAGCTTATACATGAACGGCATTTGATTGATCAGGGCCTGATTTGGAGCCATTTGTTCACACTCAGTAAAGAAGTTGACCAACATGTTTGTTGAGTTAACATATTCACCATTTGGTTAATTTCCACTCCAAGGCCTCTTGGAACAAACAATAGTAATGGTCTAGTAGCCAGTTGTTTTGAGATCAGTTCCTTACACTTCAAGACAGTTGCAATTTCATTGGCTCACATGGTCAATAATGAAGTCCTCTCAGTGTGTGCATACAAGCAACGGTGGGCCAGTTACACTAACTGTAATGTAGCAGAATTGCGCTAAACTTTAGCGTAGCCTAGCAGAATTCCGCTACATCTTGCACTAACACTACGCGCATAGACCCAATACGCTACACTAACACACTGGTTATTTTTTTTTGGCCCTGTAGCACTGTTAGCGGCCTGTAGCAAGCATAGTGTAGCAAAAATCCGCTAAAAAAACACTAACACTACATGTTTTTGGCGCAAAAAAAGCGCCGCTATGCTACGCTTTTTGGGCCAAAAGTGTAGCATAGTGTAGTAGCCCACTGCTGATACAAGGGTTTTGATTGATTCCGGAATTTGTTCAGTTCCTTCCCATCCTACAGTCCCCCAGAAACAAAACTGCAAAGCAGCATTCATTGCGCTGTGAGACAAAAAAGCATCCAAGAATGTCTTTGAAGTCAAGCTGAAGCTCTCAATGTGGGAGCAGATGGGCACTATTTTCTCTTCCATTGAAACCCAAGAAGGGGGTCGGAAAGACATTGTGAGTTAAGTTCAAGATAGGATCTAATTTCAGGGGAAAGAGTGGATCCTCAGGCAACAAGTGAGACTTCTAGGTCAGACATAACACACCTGACTTTTGGAATTTTGCCGCTTTGAGTGCAACAACCTGGATTGGCAAGATAAACAAAAATTCTGATCCTCACATCACAATAATTTGTTTGAACCAATACTACAAAGTGCAGCAAGCAAACAGCCCACAATCTGGCCAATCCAAGTGGGTTGCCTTCATCTTGCAGACAATCTCATGACCATGTAATTAGTATGCTAAAGGGTCTCTTGTTTCTTATGAGTCAAAAACAAATGGTGCAAGTTTTTAATATTAGTGGTGTGCAAGGCTAATTTATATACAAGAGGCTTACATCCAATTTTTAAAGGAGTGAACAAACCAGTCTACTGTGTGGTTTGACAATTGGAAAAGTGAAGCATCATTGTAGGATTCCAATATTATTAGACCAAGTGTCATCAAAAGTTGGAAGAGTGAATTTTAGGGGCGCTTCTATGGTATGTCATCTTGGGGAGGATGACTGTCATACTAGTGGTTTCTAAATTTAGCCAAATGTTAGATTTCGTGAGGCACTGGTGTGGTTATAGAGCCCTTTGATTTCCAAATAATAAATGAGGTGCAGAGATAGGAGAGCTATAGTGGGTTACTTGTTTTGGCACATCAAAGTGAACGTTTGGTCACTAAAATCGTTGCTATGCTCCTGAAGGCCAAAAGAATCAGTTCATAGTCAGTTTCCCCTACCTTTTCCCTCATCAGTGATACAAGTACAATAATATTATGCATTTACTTTGGCGACATTCACTACGTATGCCGGACAGCAGTGTTTCGATTCATTTGGGCCGCACCAATAAGTGTACTTTGTGCCCTGTTTTCGATCTCTCATCCACACTATTCATTGACACCGTCCATACAAAATGGTAGAAGTTTCCGGGTTAGTCAAATGAAAGGAAGGTACTTTTCTTGGCAAATAACGCTTGACATCAGACTTACCTCTTGAATTGGGCGGCGAGCTATTTTTGTTTGTTATAGAGCACAATGATAAAGGGTAACTGGGATCCGAGCAGTCGTAATATCCAGTCCATCCGGTCGCGTTTGCAAGACCCGAGGAGGCAGTCAAAAAGAACATCGTTGATCTTGAGAAGCGCATCGTTGACTGAGGGAAAATGAACCCAAGAGAGTTTGCTCAACTTGTGAAACGAATTTTTGGGGAGAAAGAAGGATGAACATACCAAGCGAGAGTTGAAGGTGAAAACCGAGTCTTTTGGTGGAGGGCTGGATGGAAGGAGTTGGCCCAGGAAGAAGACAATGCTGGAAATTACATTCTGTTGGCAAGGTATGTACCTTCACACATTCAGTTAGTTTTCTGCTTAAGCCCTGTATTTCTCGTTTTCTGTATGGGTAAGCCTAAGCTTGTCAGGGAGTCGGAAGGTCTTGCCCGCCCGGGAGTGACGTAAGCTCACCCTTTTTTCGAGGTGAGCCGTGAGCGTCTGTCCCAAGGGTCTGGGTACTCACACAGGACTTGCTCCTCATTTTTGATTCCCCGCGACTGGGTTTGCTTGCCGCCTGGCACAAGGCTTTCATCTTTCATCCGTCTAGAACTACACAGCGGGATAGTCTTAGACTCTTAATGCCACGTTGCCGCCTCATGATTCTAGTAACAATACAACACACAACCGAGGGTATGTGGCCGATGGCATCGCCATCGGTATTTGGCGTGATGAGAAGGCCGAACTGAGGTCAACAACGTCGCGCTTCTGGAAAGCCATGTGGCAATAAGTACAGTATGGAAACCAATGTTTTTCCGGTGACTCTCCCTCCAGGCTATGAATATAAAAACTCTTCAGACAACACGGGCACTGGGGCTAGCGAAACCTGCCACTTTTTTGAAGACCACCCGCTAGAACCCAGCCTTCTTCATAAATACTTCCGCCACCACTCAAGATGAACTTATCCAACTTCTTCAACTCTTTGCTAGTGGTTATCCTTATTCAGGGCGAAGCTTTACATGTCCAATCCTTCGATTGCAAAAAGGAAATCTATATTTCAGGCTACGATCAGGCTTACTGTGCAATCTATGGCCTTGATAAACCGCGGTATCATCCCCCACCCCAACAAAAGAAACCTGGTCCTCTTCTACCTGATCCTAAACCTGATCCTCAACCTGATCCTCCTGGCCCACCAAGTCATGATGGATATAGCAGTAAGTCCTTGCCAGTGACAATCCCTATAACTACCTGACCGTTGGTACTTAATGCTTGGTAACCTGTCGTAACAGTCGTAAAACCAACAGTGAGCAATACTGGGGATAACAGCTGCCGATCAGGCGAGCCAACGTGCTGCGGTTCGGTACGTTTGAGATTCAGAGTCAATTCAAACGACCTCTATTCTGCCATACGACACTAACCCTGTCTTAACAACCAACTTTACTTTGTTTACAGAATGTCAAAGTCAACACCTTTGTCCGAATGGACGTTTATGAAAACAATTGTCAGCCTCAGACATAGGCTTGAAGATATGTCGGCCAAGCGAAAGATGTGATCCTTATCTCCAGAGAACCCTGCAAAGAATTAGTATTATCATTGATGAGTCGAAAATCCCTGATCTATCAAGCGTGATTGTGACAATCGCGGGTCGTTGAGTTTCAAATCTGGATTCCTCGCAGTCACTTTTGAGGCTTTGCAAGCCACTGAGTCGACCATTGCTCGGCTAACCAAGCTACATATTAGTGAGGAATGTCGCCTTCGAGCGTCTAGCACATGATTGCGAGAGCTCTTGTGCCACGAGCCTAACACAAGCCTGTGAGTGAGAGCCCGGAGGGCAGCCCCGCGGGGTCTCTCCTCCCTGCGGTCGGCGCAATGCGACAGTGGCGAGGCCACTCGCATGCCAACACCGCCCACAGCAGGGAATTGGGAATTGCGTTGAGTTCGCTTGTGCCAAGGGTCCAACTCCCCATCCGCAATCAACCTCAGCATTTTTACCCCTCCTTACGCCTCTTTTCTGATAATTGATTTATGAGGTTTTAACCTGTGTTGTCTATCTTTTCTTCCACCATGTCGCGATTAGATGCCACTTCGGTCGCAAAGTTCAACATGCGCGGCTGAGGAGCAATCTTTAATAATCTCAAGTCAACTTCAGGTCTCTACAACCAATTTATTTTTTATTTTTGAGAAATTTGACAAGTTGACCCAAGCTCTCAAGATGGCGCGATTGATTTGATTCTGACAAAGATGAAGGAGCTTAACAAGACTGATGGGTGCGGAAAACATATAACCCAAAAGTCTCTCCCTCAGAGGAAGAAACAATATTTGAGAATGATAGTGAATATAGAAACGTGGTTAGGGGCATTCCACGATATCTAATAAAGTTTTGGCTTTTGTGGCCGACCCGTACAAGAAGTTTTTCGCCTGTAGGTTCGTGGATTGACGACGTAGCCAGACAAGAGTTTTATTTTATCTTATTTTTTAAATCGCAGATAAGTCCCTTAATTCGCCATCCTCAGTGAAGTCGTCCCTTTCCACCAATGTTGAGCAGGGTTGAGTAAAGAGTCGACCAGAAAACTGTGAAAATATGAATCAAGTCATTGTTAGCATGTAAATATGTCTGATGTCCGACGAGTCGAATATGTTCGACTTTTAAGACAAGATGGACAACGCCTCATGGTTATGTCTGGTATTTCCTGTCAAGCGAAGCATTAAAGCTGATAAAGAGAAGATGGCAGGATCTTGAAAGTACCTTAACGAGTTGATGGGAAACAAGTACATGACCCCGGGCAAACGAAATTCCGTCCGGGGGGTGGTAATGGTGTGTTTGGAGGGCAAGAACAATTGGCACGCTCGCAGCTATCGGTGCTATACACCCCACGTAAGAGGGCCAGGTAAAGTGTGAGAAGGCCCACTAGGATAGAGCGCATTGTAGTGATTGGTGTTCAAGTCGGTGATTAATATAGCGATGAGACTATGAGGATGTAATATTCAGACTCGTCTGTGCTGGCAGCAAGGGCAGGTGTCTGCAACAAGAGGCAGCATAAATAGACCACAGCCAGCATTGTGCCGGCAAAACTTCAAGACCTACTAACATCCTGACATGGCGCCCCTATTCCCTACGAATCGTATCAAGGTGTAAGCCACACATGAGCCTGCAAGCCATGCCAAGCTATTCTTTATGTACTATGAAGTATTGGTATTTAGGTGGCGGTTAAATGTTCAGCATGTCTCAGAAAGCTTGCAGAGTCGGGCCGGGTCTATGTATCCAATGAGCCGCCATGTCGGCCAAGATTTTGTCCAATTTTCTCAACTGTACGGAAACTCGGTGATCTTTACTCCGTGGCGTTCTCAGCTTGAAGATGTTCTTGCGATCCAGGGGGTGCAAGAAGCCAGCAGTTGAGAGTTGGACTGTGAGGCCATGACCAGCCTACTCTGGTGTGTCGATTATGAAGGAGTTGTGTGAGGTTGAGGTGAACTGCTATCCAAAGACGATGCTTTTTGTTTTTTACGGCCACTGTTAATTTGATCGGTCACCCTCAGTTTATCTCCAGGCGTTCCTGAAGAAAGACATCATCATCTTGGATTGGGCTGCAACTCTTTAACTAATCGTCATGATCGTGATTCGGCCCCTAGTTTTGCTCATAAATCTCAAGAAGAGGTCGAGATGTTTTGACATTCCTGTGTCCTCCTGAGTTGCTTGGATCCGAGCCGTTGATGGATGGCAGGGATACAACTTGCTTCAGCGGGACCTCTTAAATTTTGGCAGCACAGCCGACCCTGCCTCCCAGCTTGCGACCAGACCATCTCGGCCCGGGTGATTAGTTTCAGAGCTCCCACCCTCAACAAGCTCAAGCAGCAGTACTTGAAGGATAAGGATGACGACCAACCAACAACAGCTTCCTCGTACTTCATCTTTCAACCACCTTTTCGGTGGTGCCATACTGGATGGTCAGTCTTAAAAAAGCATTCTTCATGTTTATCATCGAACTCGACCGCTCCAAGTTTTTCGATTTTGGTTTCTGAGACTGACCATAATTGTATCTCTTGCTTTCACTATGTACAGGTCTCAAGCTATCCTCGATCGTAATCCCTGGTGGACTGCTGATCCATCAACTTCGTCAACACATGAAGCTATCCCAATCCTTGTCAACCTCAGCTCACACTACCGCCTCAGCACCATTACCACCATCTTCTTCTTCGACCTTCTCGGCAAGAAGCTCACCAACCTCAAAAATAAACTCGCTCAACTACCGACTAACGCATTTCCTCAAATGGAACGGCCTGTTGACCTTCGGATTTAGTCTGCTCTATGCCGCCGTTCTCACCACCTCATCCTCGTTGATCCAACACAACATCAAGCCTCTTTCAACAACAACAACCAGAAACGATAAGCCAAAGAGTCAACGGAGCTCCCATTCAAACGTAAGTCATGCTTTCCTTGAACTCCAAAAAAAACAAATGATGATGGCCTCTGACCCTGCAAAACTCATCTTTATAATTTATTGTGGAAAAAAAAAAGGACTACTCGGTCATTGGAGGGACTTTGGGCGGCTTGATCACAACCACAATCTTCTGGAATCGAAGGCTGTTCAGTCTGCTCAGCATCATACCCGGGGGGATCGGCCTCGGCGTCGGTGCTGGTCTCTCGACCGCGTACCTTCATTCGCTCCAGTCTCGCTCCCCCAATCAACCTTCTTCGATTGCTGATCCTGAACAACAAAAACCTTAATCGGATTTTTCTTGTCGCTGTTTCATACATATAAAAAACCCACCCGGGGTGCTGTCGGTTCCCATCATGATCAAAGAATTAAACTAACATAAGCGGCTGTATCATACGTTTCCTTCCTCTAAAAACCAATAAACAAAATGTAAAAGCGTATATTTATGTATGTATACAAGACTGTCCAATTAATGTTCAAAAGGGTTTAGAAAACTTAGTTGCAAGTCTGGTTAAAGTACAATGAGCAATACCTGAACAGAACAGTTCTGTTTATTTTATTTTTTTGCATCACATTCCTGCGGGAGTCTCGGCTGACAAAAGAGCAAGCAAAGATGATTTATCCATACATACACTTGAATAGATGCTGATGAAAAACAAGATGTCGTCAATACCCATCCCGAAGGAGGCTGTTTCTGCGCAGAAATGTTTGACTCATCGACGACCACAACCACATGCGCCCTGGGCCCCTGTGGCCCTCTGATATACTGGGAAGACTGGGACTCACATGAATGGAACTCATCGTAAACCTGTTCCAGCTTTTTGTCTACAAGCTGAAACCGTATTTATGGTGTCAAGGCAAGGTCTCCTCAGAACCCAGTGTCAAGTATAGTTCTTCACTCTAGCTAAAATACCTATTTTTACCTGTTATGTAGATGTTTCCATCTGAGAAATAAATAGCTGCCTCTGTTGTGGATGTAGAATATTGCGACTGCCGTTCTACCAATTGCAAGCGAATTCAGATTCTCAAGTGTTATATTTCGATTCCAAAATGGCTTGCTGTCTACTGCTTCTTATCAGGGTATACTCAATCTCACACGCTTTGTGCACGATTGTTCCAAGTATTGAAACTGGACTGGAGAATAGTGATAAAGGACCCCGTCTCTGTGGTACTCATTTTTCGGGAGTCTTTTATATTTCTCATTGGATGCTAAATATTATGATGATATCTTTCCCCTTCCCATAACAACAACTGAGAAGCTCTCCCATATCTCAAAACAAACGAAGAACCGACAAGTTGTTTAAAACCCAAACCCTTGGAAACAGAACAAATGGATGTGTCTCAGAATCACCCAGCTTTCCATCTTACTGTCAAAAATGAGGAATGTGAAGAAATATCAGCGACTCGTGGTGCTCTGGTCAAACAAGCAAAGCCTGTAACCAAAAAAGAGCGTAAGTGAATTCCAAGACTACTGAATCATATTCATGAGTGATGGAATTTGAACCGAGCTATTAGTATTATTCCCTGAATAGGTTTATTCATAGTTAATAATTGGAAAGAAAATGAAGGCAAGTTTGTTCACTTGTTTACATTATAAGTTAAACAAATCTCCAAAATCATTAATGTTTTATTTCATAATTATAGAGTCGCTGAATGTAATCTTTCAAGACACAAAATATCTCAAGAAGCTGTCCAGAATGATTGTTGAAGAGTGCGAAAAAATTAGAATTGAGAATCCAAGGAAATTTGAATATGATGCTTTGGATAAGGTAATTTCAACTGTTGAAGAGACAGAAAAAAACATAGCATTATTCAACCAATCGAAGCTCTTGGAACTGGGAAGATTTGTTCCAGAAGTTTCGAATTCAAAATTGTTGGAACTATTAATCAAAGAAGATGGAGATCCTATCGATATGGAAGAATTAATTGGAAAATTTCATCCAGTTCTTGTCTTCCTGATTTCAGAATGTGTGCGGAAAAACATTTGTTCTTCTCTTCTAGATCAATTGAAAAAACTGTTTTTGAAGGAAGGGCCAGCAGCTTACGCTATAAAGCACTATAAAAATCAAATATTGAATGATGGAATTAAAGACTATTTGTTCAGCATTATCAATTTCTGCTTCAAGAATAGCATAATCGATCAGACAATCCTACAACAGTTCTTTGAAAACAGGGATCTTTTGCTGGAAGCATCTGATTGGCTCAGGACATACCTCCAAAAGAGGCTCCAGTTGGATTTAGATTTTGGAAATTCTATGATATATATCACTCAAAGCTGGCTTCTGCCATTTATTGCTAGCTACTTCAACAGTAAGCTTTGAATTTTTCATTTCAATTATTTCCAGCTTTTGATAGGAAAAAACTTATAATAATTTTTTGACCCAATGATATATAACAGACCTTACTAAAACCCAAAAAGAATGGATTAATTTTGAATTTCTACATCATGCAGCATCATATTGGATATATCAAAATAAGAAGCAAAATTTCGGAAATTTAAATAATAAAAGTGAAAGGTGGTATTACATTTGTGTTCATGCTTCAAACAATGTGTACATCATTAACAAACTCATAGATCTGCATCAGCCAAAAGAATCAAGGAAAAGCCCCCAATTCTATCAAGAAGGCAATGTCAAGAGACTTTTTGAGGGTTATATTGAAGATCTCCTAGAGATCTTGATGGACAAAAGTGATAAAAACATGAATTATCATGAATTACGGGTTGCAGGTCTTGTGTGTGAGAACTTAGAATTTGTCAAAGAGAAGGTCTGTCCGGATACTTTAAAGAAAATACTTGACAATCAAGAGGTCAGCCTTGATCAATTTGAAGATCGGTATAGGGTCATACTGCAGGCATCAAGGGTGTTGAATTTGTGGTATGAAGGGTCTGCATATCATGCATACATACAAAACAATGATGTGATCCTAAAAAACCAGAATGATGTTAAATCAACATATCAAAAACTTAGGAATAGATTTGCAGAGATTTCTCAAGAACTACTGAAAACTTATTCAAGGATAAAAGAGAGAGATGACAGATTATCATTGTGGTTACTTAATCAAGATGAACTTAAAATTGTAGTTGAAGAAGATGTCAACTTTATTTTGGAGAAATTGGATGGTTGGATTCAAAATTAAACTAGATAGATAACCACAAAAAGAATTACTGTCTGTTTTGTAGCAGCCAATAGGCTTCAAAAGTATTTATATATAACTTGAAATCATTGTCTCATCTTTTGATATTATTAGGGAAAGATAAATAAACTAAATCAAAATCTCATTGTGCCTTTCTTTTGCCTATGCACTCATTCAAATAAATTTTGAGCTGCAAAAAGATCTTGTAAGTTATGAGATGCATTAAATTGTCTTGTGTATCTTGGTTTGGATAATGAGTTGATTGATCAATTCATTTTCAATGAGTTGTGATCATCTGAGATACATTTTACATGTGGAATCGACTCATTTGTGATTGTAGAAGTGTAGTAGTTCTTGAATTCAACAGCTGTTGTTATGAGGGTCAATCCTGTTGGCTTCAGTATTGCTTATACTGAGTAGGCTCCAAGGTCATTGATCCTTCTTGCCCCATTTGCCTGGCACAATTTTGTGCACAAGTCACATGAGCACTCCAGTTTTCCCTGTCCAAGGGTGGTATATGTAACATACTGTGACCTCAGCATAGGTGCTCGACGCATCTATGATTGTGGGAGAGGGCATCATGAAAAAGGCCAAGGCTTATTCTGAAACTCAGCTTGGCAGAAGGATGTTTTAATTACGGAGCAGCTTATGTATACGAGTTTGTATCAGTTCCCCAGATTATGCACCCGGGGGATTGCTGCACCAACAATCTGGTCTCAATCTATGTACAGACAGGGAAGACGTTAGAAATCATAGCCCAACGAGTGTACCCACGTGTTTTTCCTCCCAAAAGAATATTGACATTTGACGATTCAAGATGATTTATGGAGGAACACCGGTTTTGTTTCATCTCTTGCGCTCAAGATTGCTGGAAATCGCATGACACACGCTTGGCGAAAACACATCTCAATGCCTTCATCCGAAGCTTGAGTCTCAAGGCGCATTGAGATTGGACATAAAAAGCCGGCGCTGTTCGCCCCTACGACACCTTTAGCCCATAACCCACCAGCATTCTCACAACTTGGCAACAGACAGCAGCAATCGCACACCTTTTTCAGAACTAACATCAGTTAACATGGGCCTGAATCTCATCATACTCAGCGTATTTGTGTCCCGAATAATATTGATAGCGGGTAAGTTCAACATCTCAGCATCCTCTTTTGAAAAAATTGATTGTCCCGATTCAAATGACTGAAGCAGCTTATAACGATCTTGAAAACTGCAGCTGCAGCTGCTAGCAATTATGACCCCTATAAACCCAATCTAATTAGAAGCGAATATTTCCAAATGGGCCAGACAAATGTTAGTTTCTGTCATCAGATAAATTCCGGCAAGGGAATTCCTATCATCATGCCAAACTCTACCCAAGGAACCTACGGGGCTGTTCAGCCAGCCACACCGTTGAGCTTGACCCCGACCAAGTGTTCCAACTTCAAATGCACAAAGATACCCATATTTCATCCCCCTGTGATGGTAAGTACTCCGTGAGCCCAGCTGGATCATCTTGTTTCAAAAGGCTGATATCCCCGCTTGTTTTGTAGTCCAGCTGCAAGACAATTGTCCAAACACTGCTGAATAATTCGACCGGAACGTTCATTGCACCACCAAGTAAGCCGAGCTCATTATGAACCATCTTTCATTTAAATCTTCGATACTGATATCAAAGCACCGATTCGTAGATACATGGGTCATTGTCTCCCACGGAAATTGTGCCTCCATCTTGTGAGTGGCTGTTTTGTCGATGCAGGTGAATCGCTCTCCTTGCTAATTCCAAGAAATGATCTACCAGCCAAAACAATGTAGGAAAACAAAATTATACCGTTCAGGTGAGTTTAGAGGAGACGGCATGAGACCTTATTACGATTTTGCACTAATGCATCAGTACCCATAACATCAGTCCACCTGGGCCCAGTTTGGTCTCGAGTCCTTAAAACTGCTTGAGCAGTGCTTGTGGCCACATCCAGATTCTAATGGTGGACATTGCACGTTTGACCCTTATCTTGACAACAAATTATTGAATGTGAGTAATTTTGTCTTGCAAAAAAAGAAATGGGATTGGTCAAGTAGAGATTGACCGACAGCTTGTTCCTTGACTGCTTCAACTCAAAATCAGCTGGGTCTTCTGCTTCAAAGTTGGAGTGATGAGGAGAACATTGTAGAATCCTACTAGCCCCTAATTACCGCCTCACTGTTCATCTTCCCACTTTTCCCGAGTTCTGCTCTTTCTACTTTGCATTCTCTCTCTTAATACTACCTTTTGTACCCTTTTTCACGTATTTGTCTTTCTTGATGACACTTTTCCAGCTTGCTATATTCCTTTCCTTGGCACCACACTCTTTCAACCATGAACACTGAGGTCCTAAACCGTACCGCAGATGATGTGTCCCAGAGGCTACGTAAAAACCCCGTTTGACTATCTTGCTAAATAGTAGAAAACACCTCAACACGCTATCATCTCTGAGCTAATCGGAGTAGATTCGGCTGGCGAGTCAGAGTTAGGTCCGTTAGTCCGGTATAATTTACTTACCGATAACAAATTATGCTGACCCCGGGCGTTTCGCATCTTTTCTTGTAGTGAGGATCCAGTTGATGATGGCCATCATTGATTCCTGGTGGCCAAGAGTTATGAGGAGTATTGATGAGAGAATCAACCAGATTCCACTGGGAACATGATAGCCTCCCATCCTTTCAATAATATATATTCTCTGTCATCATCGCCCTCCTGCATTCAGCCCGCTCTAAGGCAGATGATCGGCTGGTTACTTCATTAGTATACAAGCTTTCCTCTAATCTTAACCTGCGTATACAATCCCTTACATAGGTCATCATCGTGCACTTCCTTTTCGATACAATGCGTCATATCAATACAATATATGTGCAATACATCATGAAGGCTTAGGCAACATGAGTTACGATACGGTCCTCCAAGGGTACAAGAAGATGATCATTAAGCTGTGCCTCGGATGGAAATCAAGACTACAAATATTTATTTATAGGTCAAATATCTAGCGCTGGAAACCCACACCAAACGACGATCGACTTTCATTTACGTTTGAGTAGGAGTGTCAGTGGCTCGCTTGAGCTGATGTGGGCAAAAGGGGAAGAAGCACCGCCAATACACCCCCCCCCCGGAGTGTGCGCGTTTTTTTTAGGATACAAGGAGCGAGACATTTGAATCGACACGTCCTCCAGCGTGGAATGTACCGTTTGAAATCGAGGGGGAAGCAGTACTTTTGCTTAACTATGATGAACTTCGATCGATCGATCGAAGGCAAGATACATATTTGATTACCTCCGGTAGTTTTGTGTGAGCGTTGATTGGTCAAGGACTCCTCAGGCTCAGGAATAAGAGCGGGGAGTGGAGAGAGTTAAGGAGACGTGAAAAAAAAAGCGCTATGTTGTAGAAGAAGTGAAAGCGTTACAAAGCTTGATGAGCTTCATACAAGAGCCAATACAATTAAGTTTACAATCATTCATACGCGATGAGAG